AGGATGTGGTGGTGCCTTCAGGAGCAGTAGGGGAGGAAATGCCCTGACTAGACGTGGTCACCAGTGAACTGGTGCCCCCAGGAGGGGTTGACAGTGTGCTGGCCTCAGTAGTGGCCCCAGGTGTGGCGGTGGCAGGCTTGTTGGTTGATGGTGTGCTTCCTCCAACAGGAGAGGTTGAATGCGTTGGGGCACCTCCGGGAGTGATAGGGGAGGAAGTGGCCTCAGTAGACGAGGCCACCAGTGAGCTCATGCCTGCAGGAGCACTTGTTGGCATGCTGGCCTCGGTGGTTGACCCAGGTATGCGGGTGGCAGGCTCAGTGTTTGATGGTGTGCTTCCTCCACCAGGAGCAGTTGGGGATGTGGTGGTGCCTCCAGGAGCAGTAGGGGAGGAAATGCCCTGAATAGACATGGTCACCGGTAAACTGGTACCTGCCGGAGGAATTGACGGGGTGCTGGCCTCAGTAGTGGTCCCAGGTGTGGGGGTGGCAGGCTCAGTGGTTGATGGTGTGCTTTCTCCACCGGGAGTGGTTGAAGGCCTGCTTGCACCTCCAGGAATGGTAGAGGAGAAACTGGACTGAATAGACGTGGTTACCAGTGAGCTGCTGCCTCCAGCAGCAGTTGACAAGGTGCTGGCCTCCGTAGTGGCCACAGGTGTGGTGGTGGCAGGTTCGGTGGTTGATGGCGTGCTCTCTGCACCAGGAGCAGTTGAAAACGTGGTGGCGCCTACAGGAGTGGTAGGGGAGGATCTGCCCTGAGTAGACGTGGTCACTGGTGAGCTGATGCCCGCAGGAGCGGTTGATGGAGTCCTGGCCTCGGTAGTGGCCCCACTTGTGGCGGTCACAGGCTCGGAGGTTGATGGCATGCTTTCTCCACCGGGTGAGGTTGAAAGTGTTGTGTCACCTCCAGGAATGGGTGGGGAAAAACTGGCCTGAGTAGACGTGGTCACCAGTGAGCTGGTGCCCGCAGAAGTGGTTGTTGACGTGCTGGCCTGGGTAGTGGCCCCAGGTGTGCTGCTGGTAGGCTCAGTGGTTGATGGTGTGCTTCCTCCACCAGGAGCGGTTGAGGATGTGGTGGTGCCT